AATTTTATCCTATTTTATAGATTAAATGAAAATTTCTAATAAAAAAAAGAAAGATACTATATTTGCTCCATCGAGTTTACATGGTATTTCAAAATGGATAAAAGAATATCGTGATCGTTTTTCAATTGATATTAATCAACTTGAAAAAACATCTCGAGATTTTCTTACTCTTAATAAATCAACATCTAATAAACAAACTAAAGATAAGAAACAATTAAATAATGAAGATGATGATGATGGTTGGACAGTCGTTTCACGTTCATTAAAAAAACTCGTCAACGTATGGTACCATCAACAGATAAAACATTAAGTCGTTTACGTGCAAAACATAAACGTTCAAATCAAAAAAAAGAATTAGTCAATTTTTATAAATTTCAAATGACTGATAAGAAAATTGATCAACTTGAACAATTAAAAATGAAATTTGAATTAGATAAACAACGTATTACACAAATGAGACAACAACGAAAATTTAAACCATTTTAAAAAATTTTCATTGTCTAGTTGTTTTTGTTTTTGTTTTGAATAAATGAACAACACATAAAAAGAGAAAGAAAGTTTTCATTAGTAAATCAAATGGCGGCACGATTACAGTTGTTGAATCAAAATATTTCACATTAATTATGCTTGCAGTTATTCTATCAAATACGGTTGTAATGATTTTTGAAACATATGATTTTTATTACCAAAAATATCATTCATTTTTTCTTTTATGTGAAAGAATATATCTATCTCCTGAAACTGATGACATATATAGCTCGGATTTTCAGTATAAGTCTCACAGTGATATAGTGAACACACATGTGTGAGAAACTGATCTGGAGTGATTGTTTATAGTGGAGAAATAGACATACGAAAATGTGATTCCATCACGGCACATATTTCTGCAGCGTAAAGGTAGCTTTAAATATTTTTTTCTTTAGATACTGTATCATCGAGTCTATCAATCTGCTACAAATCATGATTTTTATCCCTGTTGTTAAATTGAATTTTACACTTTTGTGCAATTGGTTAAACATGACGTTCCCTTTTATGTGATTTCACAACGTGGTATATTTTTGATCATAAAACAGAAACAGCTTTGGTAAACTTAGGAAAAACTCTCATACTTTTAAAGAGGTATTAGGCTCACATAGACTGTATAAAGACTCAGTCTTACTGGTTTCCCTATGATCGAGTTATAGAATTTACATGAGGAAAAAACGTGATCCAATCACGCTTGAACACGCTGACATATTTCTTTTGTGTTTTATACAGCATGTTTTCCTTTCATGAGTGCCTTCCTTTATGTTTGATCTGACGTCATCTGTTATTATATAATGATTCACCAATATTTGTTTATATTTATACACGTTAAGTTTCTTTAATATTGTATAATAAGATCACATATATCCAAATACAATTATTGACAAAAGATTATCTTCCTTTTAAACATGCCTAAAGCATCATCATCAGGAACTGGAAAGTTGTAAGTATGAACCACCTTAAGTTTCCCCAATGTTTTTTTTACTATAAGAATACAAGACATTTTGGAAGATTTGAGATCATATATTAGATGAGACATTATATGCATTTGACTTTGAATATAATCTTATAAATTATAGATTTCTCATGTGGTCGATTAAGATTTTGTTTTGAGATAGTATTAAGACATGAACATTCTGTGAACTACTTTTTTTTTATAGTCGTCGTGAGCGAGGTGATTGGCCTTGTAAACAATGTAACGAAATTAACTTTAAATCACGGACTGCTTGCCGTCGTTG